ATAGATAGATAGATAGATAGATAGATAGATAGATAGATAGATAGATAGATAGATAGATAGATAGATAGATAGATAGATAGATAGATAGATAGATAGATAGATAGATAGACAGACAGACAGATAGACAGACAGACAGATAGATAGATAGATAGATAGATAGATAGATAGAGAGAATGAAGGTTTGATGAAAGCTCGTGGGTAACTGATAAGTGGTGAGATGAGGTTGAAAGTCAAAGGTAAAATGTTTACATTTAGTTTTTAGATTATTTTAATTAATTAAAATTGATTAGGCCATTTGAGTTTTAAATGTGTTTAACTTTTAAATGGATTGGGTTATTGGGTTAGCTGACGGGCTAATGTGAGTTATATATATATATATATTAAGTTTAATTCGGTTAATTAATCGATTTCGAATCGAATTAACCATTAATCGAATATCCAAAAAAAAAATTTAACCGTTCTCCGATCGAACTAATTTGGTGGCCGACTGAATTAACCGAATTAGTTCGGTTAAAACTGAATTTTGAACACCCCTAGGAAGGGGGAGGGGAAGGGGAGCACGACCTATTTTGTTTTTTTTAATTAAAAATTATTTTTAAAATTTTTAAATAAATTTTCAACATTATCATAACGTGATACGTGTCATTTAATATATATTTTGAACGGGGTTAATAGCTGGGCACCTAAAAATGTAATGTTGGAAATATTAGACACCTATTTTTAATGAAAAATTCTTTATGCACTAAATCGTTTTTCGAGATATCGTTTAGGTACTTATTTTTATATTAAGCCATAATAATTTGGAATCATGCTCCGATGAATATTTAAATGTATAGATAAAATTTAATATTTTTTATATATTAAAGTTAATTTTTGTATTATTATTGATATAAGACTAAATGATTTAAAATTTATCATATTTAAATTTTTAGTATTTTTATTTATAAATGAAAAGTAATTTGGATATTATAAACATTATATCAAATATTTAAAAAAAATAAAAAAATATTTTTATCTATCATATTATAATATATTAGTTGCCATTTTTACTTGAGTTCTATATCATGACCTAAAAATTAAAAACATAATTGAATTTAGTTTAATTATAATATGTAATAATTAATATATTCATTATTATCCTCACAATCTCTTACAATATCCTTAGGTTACGTATGGTTAGCATGAATCCCTTGGAATTAAGGGAAATTGGAATCTAATTCCATCACTTTTTCATGTTTGGTTCAAGTTTTCTAAGAGAATTGGAATCCCTCATGGCTTCAACTTTCCATCAAATGAGGGAAAGTGAATTCCATTCATTCTATGATGGAATTCAATTCCCTTGTTGAAGGGAATTGAAATTTGACCATACTACACTCATCAATCTTTTGGTAACTTATTCATTTATTGAATAAAAATATTTTTTTATTATTTTGGGTCGGGTTTCTAATTCATATATTAGGGTCGGGTGAAATTTTATTTTGGTCGGGTCGGGTCGGTTTTTTTAAGTGTGATATTCGGGTTGGGTTGAGTTCGGGTTTAGGGTGAAAAATTCCAGACCTGAAAATATATATAATTTTACCGTATATATTTAGGAATAATTACAATAATACCCCTCTATATATAATTTTTTTCAATTAAGTCACTATTTTTATTGAATAAAAATAATTTTTTTATTATTTCGGGTCGGGTCGGATTTCTAATTCATATATTCGGGTCGGGTCGGTGAAACTTTATTTTGGTCGGGTTGGGTTCGGGTTTAGGGTGAAAAATATTCTACCCGACCCAAAAAATATATAATTTTACATTATATATTTAGGAATAATTACAATAATACCCCTCTATATATATATTTTTTAATTAAGTCACTATTTTTATTGAATAAAAATAAATTTTTATTATTTCGGGTCGGGTCGGGTCGAGTTTCTAATTCATATATTCGGGTTGGGTCGGGTGAAACTTTATTTTGGTCGGGTCAGGTCTCGGATGGAGGTTCCCTTGTTCTCGGGTCGGGTGGACCAAAAGCCGACCCAACTTGACCCATGGTCATCCCTAATTGAGATGATTTTAACTTATGATGTTTATTAGCATGATTTTTATAATTTATTGAAATGAATAATCAATCAATAAAATTAAAATTAAAATTTAATTTTTTAAAAATTTTATAATATATTGCTACATGTAATTTATAAAACAAACTAAAATTAAGCAAAAAATAAGAAGACAATTCTGTCATTTTACATTACTGAAATCAAATTCATCTGACATGTCTGCGAACCAAACAGAATATGTAATTGTATTCCAATTTAATTTCTTGTCAACCAAACAAAATATAGAATTTGATTCCAATTCCTGACAGATTCCAATTCCTTCACAGATTTCAATTCTCTCGTAAACATTTCAACCAACCAAATACTACCTTAGAAATGTGAAAAAAGAAAGATACTGTTGCTTTGGATTGTGGAATAAACTGAAAAGGAGAGATCGCGTGTAAAGAGATCCACTGTTAAAGCAAAGAGTACACGGCACATGATCATTTCTTTTTCATGTCATTTTTCTAAGCGCTTTCCCCCTAAAAATTCATCGACTTTATGGTCAAATGATATTCTGGCCCCTGAAGTTGTAATATAACTTTTTTTGGTACTTAATGAATTTTTTTATTCAAATTGACACCTGAAGTTTCTAACCATGATGTATGTTACACCAACTTATTTTTTCTATTAAAAAGTATCATGTGTCAAATGACATGTAATATATATTAAATTTAAAAAATCTAAAAAAATCAGAGAAGATGTATTTTTAAATTTTTTTATGGATATTTTAAAAGAATCAAATTTAATATATCATATGTACAATAGGAAACATAAAATAAACAACATACATCACGGTTTAAAAGTTTAAAGACTAAACCAAACTAGAAAATCTTGAAGTGACAAAATGGTGATAAAGTACAACTTCAATGGCTAAAATACCATTTGATCTTTTTAGAATAAAATTGTCAATCAGTTGAATTTTACTAATTTAAAGCTAAGATTTCATAATCAAAATTGAAGATCGATGAAATTAAGCTCTTCTCTCTCTTAATAAATTTCATGTTTAATTGATAAAAAAGCATACGATGGTATGGAAAATACATAAAATTAAACTTCATTTATTGAATTGTTATATTCAATCATTATTATAATGTTATAGTAATTACTTTATAACAATTTAATAAATTTAATATTTACTTATAGGATTCAAATAAATAATTATTTATAAATTTTAATAATTATTAAATATAATTTATTAATTTCTAATAAACCACAAGCTATAAAAAATATTTAAACTATCATTTGTAGATCTATTAAATAATCATGGTGGTAAAAGAGAATGGAGGATCATAGATTCGAACATTTATATCTATAGAATGTTTATTATTAATTAATTAATAAAATTCTAAATATATATTATCTTCTAATCATCTTATAATATTAAAAAAATATTATTTGATATCCATAAATCACAAACTTTTTATAAAAAAACGCAGATTATTAATAAATACTAGAACATCTTTTAAAAATAATATTGAGAGAAATCCTAACACCTCTCTCTCTTCACCTTCTCCTCTCTTTTTTTTCCTTTATAATTTGTGATATTTTTTTTAAATCAAATTAAGTTTTTCTTATTTTATTTTGTTTAGTCGATGACAATACTATTTTTTATACCGGTTGCCAATTGCATGTTGTCTATTTTCTTTGTTTCTTTTTTAGTATTTTAATATGAGTAATTATGACTTTGTGACACATTTATCTTTGCCTTTTAGTAGTTTTCAGTCTTTTGGTCGTTGTTTTTGTTTATCTTTTTTTAAGGGTTAGATTTGATATTGTCACGACTGATCAAGATGATACTTATTTGTTATCATATTGATCTTCCCTACTTTAGACCCTCATTTTGATTTGGATACGTATTTTACGTTCGTAGATAGTTTTCTCACATAACTCAACTCTGATTTGTGATTTGTCAGTGGTCTTTCAGTAGTTTCATCCCCTTTTGTGGTTCGTTTGTCGATGCACTCATATTTGTTGGTATCTTTATTTTGTTCGAGCTTTTTAGTTAGATTTTCTAACATTTTCCTTATTTGGTCCTTATGAGATCTAGATAGTTAGTTTTTGTCTCGATAGTAATAAGAAAATGTCATAATTATATTTTATGTTTATGTTTATGCTTGTAAATTTTTATTGTAATTTTGGATATTTTCTATTTTTAATAAAACTAACGACTTTATATAAAAATACAAAAGATTTAAAAATAAATAAATTCCGAAAAAAAATGTAAAGATAACAGTTGATTAAATGAAGGTAGAAAGAATTCAAACGTATAAATGAAGGTTGAAACTATGTTGCCTCAAAGGTTTAGAATTTGACACTTGGTGGCAATGTGATGGCTTTTTCTATAATTAGAGCACCACTTGTCACCGAATTAATCTTTAGTCATTACCACTGTTTCTTGCACCCTTTCTCGCAACTTTTTCTCTCTCTGAATTTTAGAATTATTCAAATTAAAATGAATAAAATTTAAAATATTTTTTAAGAATCGAAGGTTTGATTTTATTTTTAAATAAATTATTTTTTAAATTAAAATATTTATGAGTTAATTTTTTTTATTTCTAAAAATATATTTTGTAAATAAAAATACAGATCAAATTTGATATTGGTAATAAAATAAATAAATGATTTGAATAGATGTTGCTGAAATTATAAAATAGTACAGAGATATTTTTCAAGTGGAACTTAAAAGGATATGTAGGATATTTTAATTTTTTAATGTGACAAATGTTTCTGAGTAACATCATTATAGGGACTCCCAATCAATGGGTTTGACGTGGCGGAAAGTGAGATTACGGATGGCCGCTCAAACACTTGTCAACTGAAGCAGAACGCTATCAAGAAAATTGAAACAAAGCTTTTGAACTGCGAAACTAGTGAGGAAAATTTTGAGAATAAATGGCATTTGGCGTTGGGTTTCGTTTGGATCTTCTGGGGAAGCCTCAATCTTCTTTAATTCCTTCAGTTTCTTCATTTCCAGCTAAGAATGTTGTTTTTGATCGCATGAAGAAACTCCACAACTCCATTGCACTAACAAGAGCATCAGCTGAAGGTTTGCTCGGCTTTCAGACTCAATTCCTGTTTTCTTAATGATTTTTTTAGAGTTTCACCCTTTTTGTTTAAAATGGCTACTATTGTTTTGAACTCTGGTTAAGACTGTTGATCCCTCCCCCTTGTTTTATTGGTGCTAATTATCGTGTATTTTGTCATTATATTTATATGTTCGAAGGTATAGCTTTAGGGTATTCGGGATTCGAGTGTTATAATCGCATGATGTTTCTTTGTTGGCCGGAAACATATCCATGCATGATACTCGTCCTCAAGTCTAAGCAGCATTGACCGAACCAATTCAATCTAATCTGTTAGTTTCTTTGCAAACTTCATATGCTCAAAATTTGGTCTTTGATGTGTTTTTGCGGGACCACCCAGTGAATTAGACGAGGATTCGAAGTTTGTTCCGTTGAATGCCGATTGATCCCACATATGGTCCATCTGTAAGCTCCGGTCAGTTTCTAATCTCATCTTGAGTGAATATTTACGCTAAAAGTATCAAATAATAACCATTCTTATTGAAATCATGCACACTTGAATTTGAGTGTAAGTGTTGGATTTTTATTTGTATCTCATATTTGGAAAGTTCTTGGAGGCTCTTATCTCAATGCTTATATCAAATTATGCATTGGATAAAGATATTTCAGAAAATTGAAGACTCAAAGTAATGGAGAACTAATTACAGAGAACATTCCTATCAAATAATAACATTCTCATCATGCATCATGAATGCAGACTATGTTGGTCGCCTGGTCGGACCCCGGTATAAGCATATGATATTTATGCGTACCTAAAACTGGCATGTTCATTTTTTCTAAAATTTCTCAGATATTCAAAAAGTTTTTGAAAGGTCTACCCGATAACCACATACATATATTGTTAGATACGGATACTTTAACACAAATGAAGAGTATTAGCAACAAAATATAGAACATAGACACAGTCTAAACCCATTTGATATTTCTGGGACTTCTAATCTTTGATTGTTTCGTAGGCTTTATTGTTGCTCGGATTTGAAGTCAATGAGGCAGAGAAGGTAACGTTTGGTAACTTTTACATGTCATTTTTTATGAAACTTCATTGTCTGTGGTACATTCTTTTTAGAGATTGAATAGATTATTATATGCCCATGGTGAACCACACAGATTGTTGCAGGCAAAATTTTATTAGGGGTTTCATTATCTTATGATGATTGATGGGTAAAACGGAAATTGAGGGAGGGAAAATCTTTTTCCCCTCCCCCTCTTGGGATGATTTAAGACAGTTACAGGGACTTGAAGTTGTTTATCTCAATACATGCATGTGTTTGGTATAGGTAATGCCCATTTTTTACCGAGTTTTTCTGATGTACTTAGAAGATTGTATTTTCATATTCTTGTTTGAGTGTCAGTAATGTATTTCCATATTCATGTTTGAATATGTTCTGGACACGGGTATTCAAGGAAAATGAAGTGTCGGAGTAAGGTTTGTGGAAGGTTCAGCATGAATTAAGGCCCCTTTCTTGGAGGATGTCCGCAAGGGGGAAAGGTCTCTAAATTACATCCTTTTCAAGGATTTAGTAAAAGTCACATTCTACTGTATACTATTAGTACATTCTTGCATGTTCGATATAAACCCATGATGTAACACCCCAACCCGTATTCGACCCGAATATGAGTCCGATATGTCACATTGACTTTTTAAAATCATATTCTTACAAAATTTCAAAACATTTGAACTTATATTAAGAAAATATGATAATATATTGTTGAATCGTGTTTGTTATAACCAATTTAAGAAAATATACGTTTTTATGAACAGTTAAATACGGTATGAACAAAACCATGAACAGTACCATGAACAGTGTTACAGTGCATCGATGCATTGCTACAGTGCACCGATGTACTAAAATTTCGAAGCAAAATTATGCAACGATGACTGCTACTGCTTCAGTACTTTCGTAAAAATACGTATAAACTCGTAAAAATCTAAGCTTTCATCTGTATAAAATTTATCAATTACATATATGCATTTAAAACATTACAAAATTCAATCGTATAACTTTTCAAAACCGATTAAAACATATCATATTTAATCATTTATTTACATGCCAACCACCTTCCTTATTACAAAATACATCCTATACATTTATTTTCTGATCTGATCTTTGGAAAGGAGGAACTGACATGTCTTGCATAATTTTTATCAATCTTCCTCTTCTTAGAACCTATGCGTGAAACAATCACACGCTAAGTCGTTGACTTAGTGAGGCATATAAAACATATAATAAAAATCATAAAACATTTCATATAAACAAAATGCATACATCTGCAAATACTATCATTAATCCCTTTTACTTACCATATACACATTATATAACACATATAACACTACACTAAGGAACAATATATCATCATGTAATTTCTATAACCTATTTCATATTACCAAACATACATATCACATATAGGGTATTTGTCATTATCTCTTTAAAGCTCATGTATTAGCCCATGTATACTTTTGAGAACTTAAGGTATGTGAGTACATTGAGGTTGTGCACTATTATGTTGTCTCCACAGCTCGTATAAATGTCCCGAAGGACCTATCCAGAGGTCATAAAGAACCTCGAGAACAGTCCATAGGTCCCGTAGAACCTAGGTAAACTGTCCATATGTTCCTTAGAACTTAGGTATATTGTCCATATGTCCCGAAAGACAAAGTAATTCTGTCCATATGTTCCGTAGAACATAGGTAAACCCTCGACTCTTGGCATGCCAACTATACCACTAGCTCTCATACTACATAACATGGGCATTATCATTTATGACAGTTCACATATTCACATCATTTATTCTTTCCCTTCTGTCACATACCATGTGTATGTGTAACCATATGTTTCATATACCTTATTTCATTTCTCCTTTGTTCATATACATGTGTCATATCTTATTCACATATGTTCATATATACATCACATAGCACATAGAATAATATATAAACTTATACATAAATCATTTCCATATGATTCACATATCACCTATCTCATTGCTTATATCTCTAAAGCACTTAATAACTTGTCTCATAATTTCATATAGTCACATATCACTTATCACATGGTTTACATATTATGATCATGTAATCATATCAAACATATTCACACACATAAGAATCACCTATTATATCTCATAGACACATCATTTCCATACCTTTATCACATAGCTCATATAACTTTTCCTGCATATTCATGTAACATAATGTATATGGTATGAACTCATATCATGTTTCATAATATGAAATGAATCATATATCAAAGTATTAAATCTAGACTTATCACAAGTTTAGAACTGAATATACTACTATAATCATGCTATGTATATGCACTCACCTTAGCCTTGCTTTGATTCAATCCTAACTCTTCGATTGTTCCGTAGCTCGTTTAGGCTCGATATCTACATAACATAAATTTCGAGAAGATTTTCAGAAGCCTAAACTTTATAACTTGGTATTAATAACTTAGGCTAATTTAATGAACCAACATTTCATTTTTCCTTTAGGGGTGTATCGATGTACTATGGGTACATCGGTACACAAAATAGCTTCGAAATTCTCATACATCGATGCACTCCTTAATGTATCGATGCACCTTCAAGATTTATCTTAGTGCATCGGTACATACTCATAGTGTATCGATGCACCTGCCCAGAAATCACTGTTCATGCATGAAGATTCACTATTTCCAATTTCAATTCTTCATGTTTCATTCCCTTTCATATTCTTAATTCAAATATACATACTTAAACCAATTCCCACTCATTTATCACATCTTAAATCTCAAAATCCTATTCTCCATATAAAAATCAATAATCATACCCAATTTTCAATATACTCTAAATTGAATTCTATCACTCCATATTTCTTAATTAAGTTGATGACAAATCAAATTTAACTTCAAATTCAACTTATCAACTCTATTTCAAAATTTCACTCAAAAACTCCAAATCTTTAATCTTCCCTAACTCCTTTATCTTTTGATTTTAAGATAACTTAAGCTTTCCTTAAGCTTAATTATCATCTAATGATCAAAACCCAACCTTTAATTCAACAAATAATCAACTAATTAAGAAACTCACCTTTCCTTGTATGCTCCACGGTGGAGAAGAGAAGAAGATGAAGAAGATGAGAGAATTGTGTGGAATCACAATGGATTCCACGTGGGTTTCCCTTATCTTATAAGGGAAATAAAAATCTTTCATGTCAAATGATCATTTTCCCTTTAATTCTTTTAATAATTATTAACAACTTTCAGGAAATATCTCCACATAAATAATTGAACTATTATACTTTTATCACCAAATTCCGAAATTTTACAATTTAGTCACTAACCCGGTATTGAGGATGTTACACATGAAGTACATTCAAGGCATGCACCTAGGCATGTTTATGCCTTTGATAATAGAATCGCAGCCTTACTCATCTTACTAATTCTTCATGTCTTCTTTGAACAGATACGACTGTTCTTGAAAGAATTAGATGGTGAATTCTTAGAGGTAATGCTTTACTTATTGTCTTTACCTTTGTTGCACCGACTCTTCATTCACTCTCTAAAGAATCCATATATTGACACCTGTTTTCGACACATATTTGGACATAGAAGCATGAATCTCCAACTATATGGAAAAACTTAGAAAAATTTGAATATACTTGTGTTAGACATACCCGTATCCTACACGGATCTTTAATATGAGTTACTCTCTTCTTTTTATCTAAATACTAAAAAACGTGTTAAAGCAAGCCACCAAAATATGTGCATAGTCAGTAGTCCCTTAACTTTCTCAAAGCAAAACCCTTTTCATGCCTTAAGAATGTGCTCTTTTCGATCTACTACTATGGCAAGTCTCATCTTTCCAATTGATTTTCACATGAGAAGAAAGGTTATGAATTTCATTATTGCTTGTTGTTTCAATTACATCCTTAAATACTTGAATTCAGGTGTAAGATACGGATTTTTGCTCGATTTGGGCATGTTCATTTTCTCTCTCAAGATTTTCATGTATTTGGAAGGTTTTGGAGTATTATCACCATACTCATATTCAAATATATGATGGATATGAGTAATAATTTAACAAAATGAAAAGTCGGTGCAACATAAATTATGTAAGCTAATTCACATATGGGAAACAAGTTGCAATATAATTTTTTTCTTATTTAATGTTTCATATGTTCAAATTATTTACTGTACTGAAGACATGATTAATGGTTCACTTTGGGAGGCCGTGAATACTAGGCAACATAATTTGCCAAGAATCTGTATTTTCTCTGGTGTTAGTGGGGAGGACATGGTTATGTTCATCGATGCTTTCCCCGAGACTGGTATTCAACAAATTTTTGCCTACTCAAAGTTTTCATTTTTATCCTGAAATACTTTTCTCAAAACACAACCGGATATATTTGTAAGCAGGATTAGAGCCAGCTGTATTTGCTGCTCTTGTTCCCAACAGTGCTGATAAATATGTTGCTGAGTTGATAGATGAAATTATGGGCGACCATGAGATGCTGGTGAGTCGGTTTTCACTGTTAATAGATGAATCTGTTGTACTTTCCATGAACAATGGAAGTACCCCGAATCCCAAGAACGTTATCCAGCCACATAACTTATGTTTTCGAGCTCCTTTCATGCAGACGATCAGGCTCAACATAACATTGTAAACTACCACGACTGCAATGGTGGTTTTCAGGGATTTAAATCCAATCATCTGATGCGGAGACTATTCAGAACAAAACAGATACATAAATGCTGCAATAGTGGCTGTAATCTGGTGCTAGAACTCCATTAGATTACGGTTCTAGAATTTAGCAATGGAAACTCATTTCATCTCTTTTTCAAGGCTTGCCTGTAAACACCAGTTCTTATCTTTAAGTTACTCTGTAGTCCTGCTAACCTTGCAGTATCTTGTACTGGAAATCTTAATTCTTCTCTACAGATATTTAAACAGTGAAGTACAATAAGTAGGTTCATGGCATTTTAATTTACTTATACATTTTGGGCAATATCTCTAAAGGCGACGAACTTAACTAACTGGCTTTTTATGGAGTTTATGCATGTGGAATAGGCAAAAATCAACTATTTCCCACCCAAATTAATATGTTTTGCTTTCTAATTAACAATGCATTCGAGATAAAAGATAAACCACAACAAAACTATGAAAAGTAAACACACCTATGATAATTTAATTTAATACTAACAAAATTAGCATCATTCATTCAAGTTTCAAATAAAAAAAAGCATAAGGAAAGTCGATAGTATTACGACATAGAGAAGGGGAAAAACAACAACAAAGATTTAGGCTGTAGAGGGTCATATATAATCAAAGATTACGCTTCCCCCTAATCTTTCCCTTACCACCGGAACGGCGCTTCTTTTTGGCCAATTTCAATTTCCTTTTGGACTTCTTTCCTATTCCACCTGCAGCTCTCAAGGAGGCCTTGGTCTTGCATTCGTCACTGTCATCAATCTCAACTGCCATGGCGTTGAGATCGATTGTTGTTGTTGTTGTTGTGGAGGCGGGAACTTGTTCTTCCAGTTCCATAGAAGCAGAGACGGGAAGCTTAGGGGCATTGAGGGCAGCTTCAATGGCGGCCATCTTGGCATCATCTTTCTTCTGGTAGAAGGGTTCCACAATTTCCCTCCTTATGGCTCTCAGCCTCTTCTCCCGCTTCGATCTCATCGACTTCGCCATTTTGTCTCCTTAATCAAAAATATTCGTAGGGTTTCTATCGATATATGCCTGAGTCTAGGGTTTTTAATATATATATCGAACCACTATCTAGCTTCTAGCTTGTTTGGTTGTAGGGCTGCCTTTATCCTATGCCGTCTTTGTTAATACCGTTTCTTCTAACGCACCGTGTCCTATATATTTAAAAAAAAAACACCGTTTCATATATTATTTAGAGAAAATAATCTCAGTGACCAAAAATCCCATATAATATACGATTTTAACCAACTTTTTCCGGATTTGCCAAAATGACCAACAAAATCGCAATGCGATCGCTAATTCGCAACGCGATCTCCATTATCGCAAATTCGCGTTGCATTTTCGCAATGCGATAGTTGAAAATCGCGTTGCGATGGTCTACAGTATCGTTGCGATTTTCCCAATTCGCAATGCGAATAAGTAAATCGCAACGCGAATTGGGAAAATCGCAATGCGAATAAGTAAATCGCAACGCGAATTGGGAAAATCGCAATGCGATACTTACTATCGCAATGCGATAATACAAAATCGCAACGAGATACTGACTTTCGCAACGCGATTTACATAGCGCCATTCGTATTAACACGTATTTTTTTTTCAAATTCCAAACACGAATTTTTTCTTAATAAATCAGAAAATGAACTGTCCACAGTAATCGCAACTCATAACCTCAAACCCAAAAACACAACACTCAGTCCCATCTCCATCTCTCACTCTCTACGGCGAAATCCGTCCCCATCTCCGAAGATTTCCGTCCCCATCGCCGGCGAAATCCCTCACAACCATTCACAGTCAAAAATCCCTCACAATCATTCAGAAATGGAAAATCAACCTCCGAGGGTTAGTTTTTTTTATTTTTATTTTGAAATTTTTGCATTATTTTAGGTTTTTCATATTGAGATTGATGATAAGTTTACTGGTAATTTCAATAATAGATTAACAATTTCACTTAGATTTCTTATTAAATTCATTCGATTGCTGCCAATACTGCTAAACTGTTTAGCCTGTGAAGTTAGTATTTGTCTTTGCTTTATCTTTTGGTTGAAGTAATGCAGAAGAAGAATAGTTTCGAGAATGAAAATCGCAACGCGGAAATAACTATCGCAACGCGAAATAAAAATCGCAACGCGAAACCAAAATCGCATTGCGATTTTCATTTCGCGTTGCGATTTTTATTTCGCGGTTGCGATTTTCATTTCGCGTTGCGATTGTCTGGTCGCGATAGTCATTTCGCGTTGCGATTCTCTCGTTGCGATAGTCATTTCCGCGTTGCGATTCTCATTATCTCGTTGCGATTTTCATTTCAACCAAAAGACAAAAACAGTGTTGCAAATTTTAGTTTCAAGAATAAACTACTATTTATGTTTATTGTTTTGTTTTTGGTATATCTTGACAGTGTAATTTTTGGTATATCTAACTTGGTATGTTTATTGTTTTTTTGTAGAAATTTTTTTCGGCTTCATTGACATTAAGGAATAAAGTTAGTCTAGCCACTACAATTGCTTCGAAGCTTTCAACTGCACAAAGAAAATTGTTTGAAGAAACCTGCTTCGGGCCATGGCTGAGAGTACAGCATCCGGGTGGAGATGCTAGTTTGACCCATTTGTGGCTTCAGACCATGACTAGCGATCTACCCGACAGTATACAACGTGGTGAGGAAGAGATATGGTTTCATTTTCCACCGGCGTATACTTGTTTTGGGCGGAAGGAGTTCTGCTTAATCACTGGTCTACGATTCGGACACGATGATGTAGGCCGGTACACTCGTCATATCACCCGCCCATCATGGTTATCCAGGGTTTTTCCTGATGAGTCAATAGAGAAGCCGAACTTACACGTCGACGACATGAAGAAATTGTTTAATAAGAAAGATGGTTTTACTCGGATGAATGACGTCGATGTTGTCCGAGTATGCCTTCTACTACTTTTGTATGCCGACTTTTTAGGCAGAGAGGCCAGACAACCTATTCCTCAGGAGCTAATATTATTGGTAGAGGACCTAAATGCATGGAATCTGTTTCCGTGGGGTTCGTATATATGGAAAGCTACCTGGACTAAGTTGTCGTCTGCCTTTGATGGCCGCAAAAGTTTGCGGGGCGATGGGTCGAAATACACTTTGTCAGGCTTTGTTTGGGCCTTTAAGGTGAGAATTTCTATATAATGTTTTCAAAATTATAATTAATTATTTAACAATTACTAATGTTTGTTATTATATTGTTTGTAGATTTGGATATTCGAGGCTTTCCCCAGCATGCGGACATATGCATTAAAATCCTCAGATGATATTCCTAGGGCTATTTCCTGGAAGAGGAAACGTATGTTGGATTGGGAAGACTTAATACCATATGCGACAATAAATAATGTAAGTTAACACAAATACTATCATATATAAACAAGTTATTAATAGTAGACGTTTAACTTTGTTTTAGTTTTTATATTTTTAGGAGGCCAACACTCCATTAATGAGACTGACACCCACGGAGGCTGAGCTTGCCACTGATTGGTGGCAAGCTAGTCAACATTTTTTTGATGGCACGAATGATGAGCAGCCTCCACTTCCTCCACTTCGAGAGCCATCACCTCACCCAGAGCCATCACCTGATCGACCCGACTATACACCTCTACAACGAGAGCCATCACCTATCCCGTCATATCATCGAGTCTCTTCTCCACCATCACCTCATGATAGGCGACCGACAAAGATGCCACGACTTCTATCTCCCTGTTCTCCACCTCCACGGGATGAGTCAAGGGAGTTACGTGATGAGGTCAATGCCTTGCGTGAGGAGATCGGTACTCTACGCGATAACGATGGTGCATGGCGTGTGGAGGTGTCTACTTTACGTGGTGAGGTTGCCGCTCTACGTGAGATGGTAGTATCGTTGCAGAATGAGGTTCATACTCTACGCAACGAGGTAAGTTTAAGATTTTCCATATTTAACTTGATGATAAATTTACTCGTAATTTCACTTAAATTAACCATTTCACTTAGATTGCTTAGTAAATTTATTCGGTTGCTGCCAAAACTGCTAAACTTTTTACTTTAACACTGTGAAGTTAGTATTTGTCTTTGTTTTGTCTTTTGGTTGAAAGTTTGAAATATATTATCTTTGTTTTCACTGTTTAAATATCATGTCTGTTTATTTACTGATATTTGTATTTTTATTTAGCGGACCGATAAGGTGGATGCTTTACGTCGGGTTTTTCTTGCACGACAGAGTTCACGCATCAGACGGCGTGCACGTGCTATTAAGTCTCCGTATACCCCAATAGTGCGAAGACACCGCAAGAAGAAGCCCGACTCGCTTATCATCCCTCAAGAGTCCACTCCTATCGTTGAAGAGGCCCCTATCATTCCTCGAGAGTCCCCTCCCACCGTTCAAGAGGCCACTGTCATCGTTGAAGAGGTCCCTCCCACCATTCAAGAGCCCGATTCACATGGCGTCATATGTAGGATTCTTGAGAAACCCTCTGACGTGCCGGACATGATGGATTCAAGTTGGCTCTCGTATTAGTTACCGGCCAGTACCATACCGGTATCTGAAGAGGAGAGGAAACAACTACCGGACACAATTCTGGATAACACCCTTTGGGCTAAGACCGCAGTTGATTTTTATCTACATGAGCGAAGCCAGGGGTGTTTCACTGACATATGCAAGCTCAATGATGATATCTATTTGTTGCTTGATCGGTCTTGGTGGGGCGTATTATTAGGGGTCGAAGACAATGGCTATTTCGATGGAGGGGTAAGTCTTATATTTTTCTTATATTTTCATTTGATTATTTTTTTTGTAAATTTATGTAAGTTACTAATATATGTCTTTTTTGTAAAACAGCATATCGATGCGTGGGTGTCACGTCTTCTAATAATTAGGAAACTTAAGGAAAATAAAAGAAATACACGGTATACAATTATGCCGACGTCTTTTAACGCCGTTCACTTGAAGAATCAACGAGATGAATCATTTGCGTTGGGCAATGGACAAGCTAAACTTTATCCTGCATGGTGGGAGGTCGATAAGGTTAGTGTTTATTTTAGATTGAGTTTAAAGGTATTCATAAATAAGTACGCAAATGAATGAATTATTACTTATGATTGCAGGTGTTTATCCCTGTTTTGGAACGTAACCATTGGCTTCTCGTCGAGCTTCAGATCCCATCCCTTAAGGCAATAGTATATGACAGCATGATAAATTACATATCATTGGCTGATTTAAGAGATATTATTAAGGGATGGAGCTCTTATTTGGCTAAATACTTGGATGCGATAAATTATTGGACTCGTTCTGGAAACAAGAAGCCAAAGAAGCTCAATATTACAGTTAGCAGAGACGAGACCGCACCACAACAAACGAAAGGACCCAGAGGGGATTGTGGTCCTCTCGTATGCTTGGCGTTGGACCGTTTGATCACAGGAAGTATAAAGTATCTACCTCCCACCGATATAGATAGAGCTGCAGTAGGCTTGTGGTTTCGACATTATATGGCTAGATCGATATATACGAGACGCTGCCTACCTGCATCCGCGTTATAAAAATGTCCATAAACAATTGGTATGTTTATAGGCTTGTGGTTTGAAAATGTTTGGTTAAGTACCTAGAATTCAATAATTTGTTGTTTGTAGGTTTTAGATGTGTAGAAAGTGTTGTTTGAGCAAATGTTTGGTTTATGCAGGTTAATCTCAGAAGTGAGCTGCGTGAAAATGATGTATGGCTGCAAAAGTTGATTCAATAGTAGAAGTGTTATTTTCTCTAATAATTATTACTTATTTTTTGATTGTTTAATTGATTTGTAAAAGGTGATTTGTAAAAGTTGATTTGTTTAATTGATGTTAACATAATTCTTATTTGTGCTTGTTTAATTGATTGAAATGTAATGGTTGATTTTGTTGATTTCAATCTGCATTATGTTGAAGGCAAAAAGTACTATCGCAATACGAAATGAAAATCGCAACGAGAGAATCGCAACGTGAAATTAAATTCACGTTGCGATTTTCATTTCGCATTGCGATTCCCTCGTTGCGATT